AAATCAAGCTTTAACTCGACCTCATCAACCCCTTTCACCATAGACGAGTCTCTGAGGCAAATCCTAACCGTCAGAATTTGGAAATTATTGAGGTCTCTCAACTCGCAGACGCTGCCTCTCAAAAATAGAAAAAAAGGAAAAAAAATGCGCACACATAATTATCTTCACTTCAAAGTTTAAGCGTTTTGTTTACGGCACAGTTTAGTGCCACACATATGGGAAGTCTGAGATCGCGGACCACAAACTGTCATTCACTTTGACACATCTGACATTTGACAACTTTTGGCATTTAAAAATGCGTTTTGGAAAATTGTAGGTCCACTGAATATAGGAGGACCAGTAGAGCAGCCACCGGTTGATGAGTTTGGAGGAATCTTTACATCCGACAAAACGCTGACACCTTTGTCGCCCACCGGACTGCCCATCCATAAGACTTCAGCGGACGAATACTTTGAAAGCTTGGCGAAGGCAGCAGTTCCAACCGCTAGACCTGTCACTCAAGCTGCCTCCACTGTTTCTGCTTGTAATAATGCTCTTGTTCCCGAGAAACCTTCAACAACCACAGAAAAGATGGGCTCCAAAATCTCCAGCATGCTTGGCAATCATCGAGATTTGGTGGATTTGGATGACATCTGCAGCATTCGAAAACGTGAGTTTGATGAAAATTACTAACGCCCTGAAGTCGACTCTAATCAGCCTTCACGAGGAAGGTAGTCCTTCTTCGATTTGGGTTCAGAATATCATCATCATCATTATCATCATCCTTCCAGCCTAATCGGAATGGAAGCTTAAAATCTTCTGGTCTTCCATCGGAATCACCGTTGAATCTCTCGATCAGGCTGACATCATCATAAACCTTAGCTATTCAGAAAACCTGATAAAGAAGGTTCTTGAGAAGACCTCTCAATGAGTCACATTTTAACTTGACAACCTGGAATTACCTTGACGTAACACAAGACCCTTGAAATGCCACACTTTGATCTTTGAACCTCGTTACATTTTCCAGGTGATTTATTTCCGAGTGGGATCATAAGTGTTACATTTTTTTTTACTGTTCAGTAGGCGCAAATTCGGCTGATTGACACCGACCTGAAGTGTAACTCCTTTGACACTTCAAAGTGCTTTCAAGTGCGGCTGTGTGTGTGTGTGTGTGCATCGAATGCTAACGTGTGATCTCCCAGTCTTGAAGTGTGATAAGCTTTGCTGATCAGGACAATGAACTTAGTGGCTTTCTTTTCCATCCAACGCCCAGAGATATCGCCAACTGCTCAGTTTTGATGTCGCATTCATGAAATTCATGCCGATTCCTTCCAGACTACTTGCAGGACAGATTCCAAATGTCTCACTTCTAGGGTCGCTAAAGTTTGTCTAGCAAGTCTTTCACTCTTTTTCCGTGATGCAGGAATAGTTTTCACCTGTTCTTCAGACAATAAACATAGGAAGTGAATCCGTGGAACCGAATTCCTCCAAGTCAGTTTTATTGTAAGACCTAATGTGTCTGTTAAAAGTCCTTACTTATGAAAGGTAGTAAATAAACACCAAAGATGCTGCAGCCGACCTGCAATCTTGAATGGAAGAGTTTCTGAACATACCAATCCTACCTTAATCCGCCTCAAGGGAAATCCCACCACCACAGCTGAGGTCAAGAGTCATGCAATCTTGTCTTGACTTCCCATTGCGCAGTTGTCCGACTGGCGAAACCAAAAGAGCATTGCTTATGTGTGGCATTTTTAGTAAAGGTGCGGGTTGTAGAAGGCACTGATGCGTCCACACTACAGGTGGTTGTGAATGAAGTACTTTCACATTCTACTTCAAATTCAGCACCACCACCCGATGCATGGAACGTCTTCGACATCATTTCGAAACCACCTATTGGGGACACTTCATTCAACTGGGAAACAAGAACAGTAAGTCACTCCATTTATCCATTTTTTCTTAATCCTTGGAATTTACCGTCTTTTCTTTTCTACTAAGTCACTTTCAACCGTCCAACAACCCGTCTTCAGCGCGGTAAATCAACCAGCACCATCAAACTTTCAACAGATCAATGGGTACAAATCGACCTGGGCGACATTCACCGACCCCGCCCCACTGGCAAACAGCTTCATTTCACCTCCAAACACCAATCGTGTCTCGGTTGCAAACACCAATCCTTTTCTTTGACGAATTTTAATTCAGTTGTTGCAATAGACAAACAAAAAACTATTCCACCTTTCATTCACATCGTCACGACACACAATGCCTAACCATAATGATCGAAAATTTGTCTATACCTGTAAAAATTTGGTCCCATTGAAGATGTCTTTGTTGTCGGTTTTGGAATTGGCTGATGCATCACTTCTCCCCAACCTCGTCCACGATGATCAGGGAGTAATGAACTGCAGAAATGTTCCTGATCATGAAAATCTCCGCCGACGTTATTGCTTGTCAAGTGCTCAAATGAAGTCATAGCTGAAATTTAGATAGGAAGGAAAGCATCACATTGTAGCAGGTGTTGGAGTTTCCATTCTGAAGATCCTCGAGTCACGGCCCAGTAGTCGATCCTGTGAACCGTTTGATTATTGCACAGAGAAAATCAAAATGCAAGCATTTAAAAAGGCACTAGCTAGACACTAAGGTGGGCAGGTTATCGCACGACAACTCCCCAATGCCGACAACGGATAAAGTGATTGCATCAGTCGACACACGTGTTGACGAACTTGGAATATCCCCCAACGTGGTAATCTCAAGTCCTGGATAGACTTGAACAGCTCCGAATCCCTTTAAAATCATTCACTCAAAGGCAGTGTAGCAAACATAAAATGAAAAAAATTACCAAATAGTTGCCTGAGTAATAGGGAGGATTGTATTCTCCGACCCAAACAGCAAAAATCACAGAAATGAGATGATCAGCGAGTAAGTGAAACAGGAATGGGAAAAGATGACCGTGTTTATGTGACGTTGGCAGACCTTTTATGAAGCGAATTTCAACTGCCCAAAGCCTAGCCTGCAGAACTTTTCAAATCCCGTGACACTGCCTTTGAGGAATTAAGTAGTAGTTGTCGTGAGCAAAGGTAGGTCGACAGCCACTTAATGTAAAGTGACACATCACAGACGACTAGACTCCTACATTCCATTTTTTATGCAATGTCCCACTTCGTGATAAGCAAGGGTCCTTCTTTTAAGTGGCCACGATCTGCATTGCGCTCGAATTGTCTCCAATTGCTGTAGATAACAGCGTGCGAGCAAATCTACTAACGACGCTTCGACCGTATTTGTCTGAGAATTTAAAGTCATGAGCGTTAGAAGTTGATGGTCTAATGGAAAGACGCGAGTAAATATTGCGCTTTAGAGACCCGACAACTGTCTCCGATGTTTGGATAGCAAAATTAATCTGACGGGTTCGGTGAGTACAAGCTATGATGTGAGAACATTCCTAATGTTGAAGCTAAACAAAAGAGACCATTTCAATCCAAGCCACTGAAAGTCAGGAGGATAAGTAACAACAAACCAGCTTCATCATCTACTTTTAAGGATGAAATGGCAAAGAAATTATACGGTCCGTCAATTACCTCACACTAACAGAATAAAAGAACTTTAAAAATGCACCAAACTATTCTTAGGTCTGCCAGGGGAAGTTGCAAAGCCAAAAACAGTTCTTCTGCTTTCACGCTTGTTTAGTGAGCATCGTGAATATCCCCAAACTGGTACTTGCAATCAGTTCCCTTACCTGAATCATTCCCACGCAACTCGGTGTTTGCCGTCCAGACACAGCTAAGGCAAGTGCTCTGCCGCAAAGTGACACCAGCACCGGCCCACAACAGTGCTTTGGCAGGGGTGAGAAGGTGGACACTTCTCCCCATCTCTTTAGTGGGTTTGTTTAAATCTGCTTGATTTCATTTGGGCGAAGGACTTTCGTTGGATTTGTTGCATAACATCTAGAGAAGGAGCCGTAACTGGTAGGATAATACAATTGACTCGAATCTATGGCTCACAAAGAGATGCACAAACGTTAGGAGGACTCTCCACCTTTGATTAAAAGGGGTAATGACAAGTTGAAGGATGTCATAAAACTGCAGTAATGGTTAACGGATGAGGAATGACATGTGACTTCCTCCTGGAGCGAATTTGGAGGATAAATTACGAAAGGTGCTAAGCCTATATACTGCCCTCACTTGCACCGAAAGCTCAAACTTTGCATGCGTGGTGGAATACAGGCTCATCATTCACCACAAATTGTGTATTTGTCAAGACCCAAACAATTCTATCGGAGGTCTATTTGTTCAGAGATGGCCTCGCCAAAGAACAACAGGACCTGTTGCTTACTTGGGGTAAGCTCCTACTCACGCAAGACAAACGACAGTTAGATGTCGCACTGTAGGAATGAGAGAGTAACGCTGTCTCATCCCAAGACCAGTCACACTTTCCTCCGACGCCAGAAAATGACTTTTTAAACCGGAGCACGAAAAGTAAAAATGTGAAGGATGAATGAAATTGTTTTACTTGTGGAAA